AGCAGCGGTTGCTTTAAGAATCAGGGAGCACTTCCGTTTTAAACTATGTACTTCCCTCTTTATTTATTTCATCCATATCAGTGTATCATGAGTACAGAGTGAACTGAAATGATACAGAGATGGATCACGGCTAGGTTATGATGTGGACTATGCACCAGCACTGGTGGATAAGAGAACCTCTTTTAGCCCTCAGTTGGACTGGCTGGATTGTGGATCTGGATAAGCAGAACTAAGTGGACTTTCTGTGCCTACTACTCTTCACTCCCTCTGTGAGCAGGTGGCTGGTGAATTGAGACAGGAGCAGGGGAATGGGCAGACCTGTCACCCAATAGGTCAGCTGGTGCAGCTGACCCAACCTGGGGGAGGATGGTAATTTGTTGGTGGTATAAGCCAGAGGCAATTTACTATCTCCCGAGGGCAGGGAGAAAGAATAGCAGAATCTTTGCCTCAGAGGGGTGATGCTGACTCACAGTGTCTCCTGGGATATGCCTGGGGTGGTGCAGCTTACATATCCAACCCCCTTGCTCAGGGCTATGCCTGGAGGCACAATAAAGCCCTAAATACTTAACATAACCAAAACGGTAGCTTCAATGAGCCACATGATGTTTTAGCCACTTCTTGGTTATTTACTGATTCCCACATCTGCTAAATGTGTCCGACAGCTGATATATGTGAGGGAAGAACGTACGTATAATAATAGCAATACTTATGCATTCCCTCTTCCCTTGTCCCCGATGCTCTCCAAGGGATGTAGAGCCATGAATGAATAAAACTTCCCATCAAGCCAGTGACTTACAATCCATGCACACGTTATTCTCAGACTGAGCATGGAACTTCCATTTGCCACAGAAGGAATCTCATATCCAGAGCATTAGATTTCATAGCCATCGGTGGGCTTTTCTGCTTAGCCCTCGGAGAAGTCTTGGCTCTGACTCACGCATGGCATTGGGTATATAAACTAGGCAATGGCAGCAAAAGTCTGCTCTAAGTCTATGTCTACACTACAAGGTTTTTGTGCAAAACCAGCCATTTTTGCGTAAAAATCAGCAGACCATCCACACCTCAAGAGCGTTTTTGTGCAAAAAAAAAAAAAAATACAGTAAATGGACAGGACAGAGGGCTCTTGCTGGTAGTTATTTTTTTCCCCATGAGGAATAACTCCTTTTTGCGCTACAGCTCTTGTGCAAAAAGGCGTGTTGTGGACGCTCCGCAGGGGTTTCTTGCACAAAAAAACCCCCCTACAGGTGCTCTGATGGCCATTCTGTTAATGGCCATCAGAGCTTTCTTGCGCAAGAGCATCCATGCAGGGTGGATACTCTCTTGCGCAAAAGCACATTACTTTTGAGGTGTGGACGCACTTTTGCACAAGAATATTTTGTGGAAGATCTCTTCAACAAACAGCTTCTTGCACAAAAACCCTGCAGTGTAGACAAAGCCTGTTGGGACAAAGATACTTGTGTTCCAACAGTACATGAAAAATTGTAACTGTTGATGTGTCTTGACCTCAATGAGGCAGAGTCATCTTGTGAACTGGGAATTCAGGAGGGCTGGCGTCAGTTCCTGGCTCTGCCACAAACTTCCATTATGATGTCGGGCAAGTCACCTAGCATTTAGGCATGACTTTGTTTGACATCACAATGCCTCCTAATTCATTTAAGAGCCTAATCTAATTTACAAAGGGATGTAGGAATTTAAGAGTGCAAATCCCATCAGCAGTCAAGAGCTAAACTCCTCAGCACCAAATTCCCTTTGGAAAATGGGCTGGCACCCAGATCTGTTAGGCTTTGTGATGCTGAGTGCAGCAAGGCCTACATTTTTTAAAAATCAGGGCCTTCAGCTCTCTGGTGGATATCCTCAGTTGGTGTAAATTGTCATAGCTCCATGGACATCAGTGGACCTGTGACAATTGTGCCAGCTCAGGATCCACCCACCAGTGTCTCAGTTCCTCCTCTACATTGAGAATAATTAATACATTGCTTAAATTGTGGCAAGGGAGATTTACACTGGATATTAGGAAAAACTTCCTAACTGTCAGGGTGGTTAAACACTGGAATAAATTGCCTAGGGAGGTTGTGGAATCTCCATCACTGGAGATATTTAAGAGCAGGTTAGACAGACATCTATCAGGGATGATCTAGATGGTGCTTGATCCTGCCGTGAGGACAGGGGACTGGACTTGATGACCTCTCAAGGTCCCTGCCAGTTTTAGGATTCTATGATGCTATGATTATTTATTAGTTGTGATGTGGTTACAGATTGGAGCCCTAGTCATGGAACAGGGATCCCATTGTGCAAACACAGAGATGGTCTCTGCCCCGGTGAGCACATATTGGAATAATGCTCGTTTCCTATATAAGCCCCAATCCTGCAAAGACTTATGCACATGCGTAACTTCCTGCACTGTGAGCAGTCCCATTGTAAGCTCTTTGGGTTAAAAGCTATCTCTTTCTGTGTTTTGACAGCACTTAGCACAAAGGGGCCTTGATCTTGCTGGTGGCCTCTGGGGGCTGTTGTAACACAAATAATAATAAACCTCCCATGTTCCAAATGAAAAGCGTCCGGACACATTTCTTGTGTTGAATGATTTTTCTTGCTTACTTTGTTGCTAGGATCATCTTTTTCCTTGCTGTCTGTTCTTTCTGTTCCATATGCTGTCTGGCAAGATGTTCTCCCACTGCCTTGGCTGGGAACTCTGTTTCGCAAGTGTACCCAAAATCCCTGGCCAAATGTAAGGCTTCCCCTGCAGGAAGAAAAAATAAGTCAATCAGGTTATACAGAAAGTTTTTTTAAAAGACATTTTTTCAGCTACATTTTTTTTTAAAAAAAGGAACAATAGGTTACTGCAGTGTGAATACATCCCTGATCTCAGTTTCTTCTACATAACTGAGGCTAGGTGTACACTACAGGGGAAGGTTGAACTAAGATACGCAACTTCACCTGGGTTAATTAAGTAGCTGGAATTGACATACCTTAATTTGTGTTTCTGTGTGGTCTCTACAAATGCTCCCCTCAACTTCTCTTACTCCACAATAGGAGCAGGAGTATCTACACCAATGGGGGCACCCTTTGGGTACGTCTAGACTACAGGCTTCTGTCGACAGAAGTTTTGTCGACAGATACTGTCGACAAAATTTCTGTCGACAAAGAGCGTCTAGACTACATTGAGTTCTGTCGACAAAGCAAGCTGCTTTGTCAACATGGTAGTGTAGACGCAAAGGACAGTTTACATGCAATAACACCTTCTGTCGACAGAAACTCTGTCGACAGAAGTCGTTATGCCTCGTAAAATGAGGTTTACAAGCGTCGACAAAACTGCTGAGTTCTGTCGACGTTATGTCGACAGAACTCAGCAGTAGAGTGGATGCAGGTATAGTATTGTCGACAAAAGTCCACTTTTGTCGACAAAACCCCGTAGTCTAGACACACCCTATGAGTTCAATTTAGCCAGTCTTTATTAGACCAGCTAAATCAAACTCCAGAAGATTGACCGTGACAGTGTCGACCTTTTGTGAAGACATGGCCTGAGACCAAATTCTGGCCTTTTCAGCCTGCTGTTATTTGTGGCCCAGCATAGCGGAACTACCAAGAAGTGAGTCCAGGTTCGCTGAACTTCCAGAGTGAGGTGTCAGTTCATTAATACCTCTTTCCTTTCAGAAAATACTGCTACTGCCATTCTCACTTAAATGTTTTCGGCCACAGGAATATCTTCATTTTCCACATGCAATCCACTCCCCCCCACACACTGTCTTCATAAATCAAGTGTTCATCTACCAGATCACATGCATGAACCAATTAAATGCATGCACTGATCATATGACACTCATGTGATATAAGTTGACATTGAATTTTGCCAGCACATTCTGTTTTGGGCAGAGAGCCCTGTCAGCATTGTGCTTGTGTGGCTGCTCAGAAGAGCAATGTTCCCTCTAATCTTATCCATCCATGGGTGGATTTTTTCAATCCATGTGTGGAATAAATATTATGATGAGTACTGAAGTGTGGGATTTGAACCCACCAACCCTATGCTCTTGAGGTAAAGGCCCTAGCCCTTAGCTACAACAGAACCAACCCCACCCTCCTGCTTTCAGGGTATCCCTTATCCCACCATGGTGTATGCCAATGTGTCCAACAGTAGAAATTAAAAAAAAAATAGCTGTAAGTGCTCTGGTAATCAATTGAACAGCATCTGAATATCCTGTAACAAGGTCAGGATAGAGGGCTACAGGAGAGTGGTAGAAAACAAGTACATTAGCCCCAGATTAAATAGGTATATTTTCCCGGGTTAAATTAGAAAGGGCTAATCCAGAACAGTCAGGAATTTGCCAGAATCAATTAGGGCAGACAGGCCAATTAAGACACCCAAAGTCAATCAGGTACTTTCCATAACCAATTAAGACTGGTGTCAAGTAACAGAGGGGTAGCCGTGTTAGTCTGAATCTGCAAAAGTGAGGAGGAGTCCTGTGGCACCTTATAGACTAACAGATTTATTGGAGCATAAGATTTCATGGGCAAAGACCCACTTCAAAGAGAAACTGCTGAGCTACAGTTCATCTGAAAATTTGACACCATCATTTTAGGATTAAACAAAGACTATGAATGGCTAGCCAAGTACAAAAGCAGTTTCTCCTCTCTTGGTCTTCACACCTCCACATCAGCTGCTAGAAGTGGGCCTCATCCTCCCCAACTGAATTGACCTCGTTATCTGTAGCCTTATTCTTGATTGGTATTCTTTTCTTATGCCTGTATATTTATACCTGCTTCTGGAATTTCCACTACATGCATCTGACGAAGTGGGTCTTTGCCTATGAAAGCTTATGCTCCAATAAATCTGTTAGGGTGTCTAGACTATGGGGTTTTGTTGACAAAAGTGGACTTTTGTCAACAAAACTATACCTGCGTCTACACTACCACTGAGTTCTGTCGACATAACATCGACAGAACTCAGCAGTTTTGTCGACGGCTGTAAACCTCATTTTACGAGGAATAAAGCCTTTTGTGTTGACAGAGTTCTGTCGACAGAAGGCGTTATTGCATCTACTCTGTCCTTTGCGTCTACACTCTCATGTCGATAGAGCGGCTTGCTTTGTCGACAGAACTGGATGTAGTCTAGATGCTCTTTGTCGACAGTATCTCTCGACAAAACTTCTGTTGACAAAAGCCTGTAATCTAGACGTACCCACTAGTGTCTATAAGGTGCCACAGTATTCCTCATCGCTAATTAAGTTTGGCTAATCAGGACACCCGGAGCCAATTAAGAAGCAGCTAGTACAGGTTGAAAAAACTCCCCTTCTGTTAGCTCACTCTGTGCAAGGAGCTGGGTAAGAAGGCACTGTGAAAGTTCTGGGAGGTACAAACACTATCAAGGACCAGAAGGAAGGGCCTGTGATAAGCGAGGTTCTGGGGAGGGCTGTGGGGAAGTGTTCCAGGGAATCATAGCTGTCATGCAGCTGATACTGGGGGTATTACAGGAAGCTTCTATCATAGGGTCTGCAATCTGGAGTAGGGGGCAGGCCCATGTTCACCCCATCCCCAACTCCCTGTTCACCACAAGAGAGTTGATTTGGAC